TACAGTAGCTACAACATATGGGATTTGAAGTCTGAAAACATCAGGGTGGCCATATTTTCCCTAACTCTGCTGCAGAAGTTAGAAACTGAACCTTAGAATCTGTGTATTAAAAGCACAATTTTGCACACAGAGTTGCAGCCCTGGCCAATCTTGTTCAACTTAATTCCCAAGATCTTAGGAGGCCCACCACACTTTTTCTTTACAATGGCAACAGGAGGCAAAATTGGCAGCTTCTCCCAGAAAGGAAGAGAGATACAAGTCAGGAGGATGAATATGCTATAAAAATGTAGCAAACATTTAAGGATGTCAATACTTAAACTAGACATATTAAGAACAAGAGCATTATTTCATCATTAATACATGATGTAAATATGAACAGAGCCACTATTCTCATGAAGAAGCGGACCTAAAATCATGATGTAAGCCAAACATAAGTAAAAATTATTAAAGAAAAATATTTTTTCGTAATATGGATTAAATTACTTTTATGTACTTTGGGGGGAAGTTTAAGAGAATATACAGTCATACTTAAAGATGAACCTCAATTTCCTTTTTTTCTTATTTCTTAAACATTAAGCAGATGTTACACATAAATCAAACTACAAAGATGGGCCCTTTTCTTAGAGTTGCAATAAAAAGAAGAAAAACTCAAAGGATGTAAAGGATGGGAGAGATTGATTTCCCACTGCCAGAACAGGAAGCAAACTATTAACAGATAATTTATACCTCACTTAAGCTAGTTTTCCCCTTCATGGATTGCTGCCTTGTTGTGGCAAAGGGGCTTGAGTAACTCAGTGAAGCTATGGTCTATGCCGTGAGGGCCACCCAAGACAGAAAGGTCATAGTGGAGAGTTCTGACTAAAGAAAGCCCCATGACCAGAAACAAAAGGCTAAAAGATATGCCGCTGGAAGATGGCCCCCTCAGGTCAGAAGGCGTCCAACATTCTACTGAGGAAGAGCGGAGGACAAGTACAGGTAGCTCCAAAGCTAATGAAGTGGTTGGGCCAAAGTCGACAGGATGCTCAGCTGCAGATGTGCCTAGAAGTGAAAGGAAAGTCCGATATTTCAAAGAAAAATACTGCATAGGAACCTGGAATGTAAGATCTATAAACCTTGGAAAGCTGGATGTGGTCAAACAGGAGACGGCAAGAATAAACATTGACATCCTGGGTGTCATTGAACTAAAATGGATGGGAATAGGCAAATTCAATTCAGACTATTATCATATCTACTATTGTGGCCAAGAATTCCGTAGAAGGAATGAAGTAGACCTCATAGTCAACAAAAGAATGGGAAAAACTGTACTGGGATATAATCTATGATAGAATGATGTCAATACAAATCCAAGGCAGACCTTTCAACATCACAATAATCCAAGTTTATGAACCAACCACCAGTGCTGAGGAGACTGAAATTGACCAATTCTATGAAGACTTACAACACCTTCTAGAACTGACACCAAAGAAAGATGTTCTTGTTATTATAGGGGACTGGAATGCTAAAGTAGAGAGTCAAGAGATAAAAGGAACAGCAGGAAAGTTTGGCCTTGGAGTTCAAAACGAAGCAGGGCAAAGGCTAACAGAGTTTTGTTAAGAGAACAAGCTGATCATCACAAACACTCTTTTCCAGCAACACAAGAGGCAACTCTACATATGGACATCACCAGATGGGCAATACCGAAATCAGATTGTTTACGTTCTCTGCAGCCAAAGATGGAGAAGCTCTATACAGTCAGCAAAAACAAGACTTGGAGCTGATTGTGGCCCTGATCATCAGCTTCTCATAGCAAAATTCAAGCTTAAACTGAAGAGAGTAGGAAAAACCATTGGGCTAGTCAGATATAATCTAAACCAAATCCCTTATGAATACACAGTGGAAGTGAAGAACAGATTTAAGGAACTAGATTTGGTGGACAGAGTGTCTGAAGAACTATGGATGGAAGCTCGTAACACTGTACAGGCGGCAGCAACAAAAACCATCCCAAGGAAAAGGAAATGCAAGTGGCTGTCCAACGAGGCCTTACAAGCCATTGGCAATGGTGCGGCTAAAAAATATTGTAAATAAATAAATAAATAAATAAATAAATAAATAAAAATAGCAGAGAAGAGAAGAGAAACAAAATGCAAGGGAGATAAGGAAAGTTACAGAAAATTGAATGCAGACTTCCAAAGAATAGCAAGGAGAGACAAGACGGCCTTCTTAAATGAACAATGCAAAGAAATAGAGGAAAATAATAGAAAAGGAAAAACCAGAGAGCTGTTCAGGATAATCGGAGATATTAAAGGAACATTTTGTGCAAAGATGAACATGATAAAGGACAAAAATGGTAGGGACATCACAAAAGCCGAAGATATCAAGAAGAGGTGGCAAGAATACACAAAGGGACTATACCAGAAAGATTTGGATATCCCAGACAACCCAGATAGTGTGGTTGCTGACCTAGAGCCAGACATCCTGGAGAGTGAAGTCAAGTGGGCCTTAGAAAGCTTCTCTAACAACAAGGCCAGTGGAGGTGATGGCATCTCAGTGGAACAAACCTATCCATTCTAAAGGAAATCAACCCTGAGTGCTCACTGGAAGGACAGATCCTGAAGCTGAGGCTCCAGTACTTTGGCCATCTCATGAGAACAGAAGACTCCTTGGAAAAGACCTTGATGTTGGGAAAGTGTGGAGGCAAGAGGAGAAGGGGACGACAGAGGATGAGATGGTTGGACAGTGTCATCGAAGCAGCCAATATGAATTTAACCCAACTCCGGGAGGCAGTGGAAGACAGGAGGGCCTGGCGTGCTCTGGTCCATGGGGTCACGAAGAGTTGGACATGACTAAACAACTAAACAACAACAAATAAGCTAGTTTTACATTCTTGCAAAGATAGATGTGCTGCAGGTAATCAAGGGCACTTGGGGGTTTTTCACCAGCGCCAAGGACTACAGGAGTCCCTCCCCTTCAAGCATGAAGCAACTGAATTTTGGAGTAGTGTTCTTGCTAGGATGTACAAAAGCAAGTTCTTCATAATTGCTCATCCTCTGGCTTAAGGCAAGGACTAGAACAATCCTTTTTTCTTCCTGGAAGGGAGGAAATAACCTAAACTTCGAACTATCAGCTTCTGGCTGGTGACAAGGGTCAGTTTCATTCTTGTCATCTCTCTGCCCTTTCAGACAACATAAAAGCACAGTGAGCCATGCTAGTCACATTTGCTTTGTGTACATTTGCACATAAATTTAAACAGGTTATTCAATGAGCTTGTTTCTTGGCTAAAGATACTCAAATGCTTACCCAGAAAACATGTTCCCACATCACTGCAGCACTTATCTCAAAGTATGGCCAAAAAAATAAGCAATGAAGAACACTGCTATCACACAACTGACTTTTTCTAGAAAGCTACAGTTAATCTATGTTAATTCTTATCAATCCACTAAAAAGAGAGACGTGCATAGGTATCATCAAAAGATGTCATACATAGCTTGCACACTTTAGGGAGACAGAAACAATATGCCTGACATTTTAAACAACACTGACAGCTTCTGAATTAAATAGCTGCTGCAACTTTGTCATATTTTTGAACATGAGACACAATTACTCTTAAACTGTTAAAGGCTTGGAGATAGCTTTGTAGGACTCAGTTAAATACATCCGATACCTTTGAATTTTACACCTTAATTTCTTTAAATTTATTGTGTAAATATACATACATATGTATACTATACAAAGCTATGCAAACACACATGATGCTTACAGAAAACTCAAGGATGGATCAGCAACTGGTGTGCCATGACAGCTGTTTTTCTTGTTCTGTACTGTCATGCTGTCCCTTTAGTTTCTCTCAACCATTTGTCATACCCATCTGTTCTTTATTATTTCTGGCTTGATTTCTAAATATTCTGGACAAGGACTGGGTAGGGGGTGGGGACATTCCAAGATCACATATCACCTTCAGAAATAGATCCCTTCCATCTCAACACTGCCATAATCAAAGTAAATAAGGATGCATTTTCCCACAGTAAGCAATTACTTGCCACATTATAGAAACCCAAGCTTTTAATTTGCTTGTTTTACTTCAAGCATATATCTAAACACTAGCTATGATACTATGTTTTAGCAATTAACAGTGTCATGAATATTGTTGGATTTCACAGAAGCCTTATTATCCACCTAACACTGCCCGTTAATATATAACAGTATGACACCCACTGAAATATAGGCAATCCCTATTTACCACCTAGATTCAGATTTAGTCATACTGTAAAATTCATTTTTAAATCACTGGGATTAATTATGGATCTGTTTTAAGTATAAATGAGAATGGATCCAAACTAATAAATCTGAATTGCAAATCTACAGTATATCTGAACCTCAGAAGACTATAGGAACCAATCTGTGACAGCCACACCATTTTTCATAAATGTAAGCCAAATTAAATACGATAGCCCATCTTTCAAGTGTTGAATATAACAGCTCTCTCGGCTGCACCAAAGTAATCTGAATGGAACACTTCCGAGGAGTTCAGAGTAAGAGATTTTTTTTTTTAATTCTAAGGACATGCCAAGATTTTCATGTCCGTGTAGAGGCGGCAGCAGCTTTTCATTCGCTAGTTTTACTTTCCCGCGACGCGAGCCAGAAGCTACCCTTCCTTACACAGACCAACATGGCACAAGGCCCGCACGTTCCTCCGGAGACTCAGCGAGCATCCAAGCCTCGAGCGGAGCTCGCAAGGCCAGCCTTGCCACACATCCCCGTCGGAGCGCTTGAGCATCGCGGCCCCTCAAGGGCCGTGTCGACGCCCATTGCCTTCCCTGCCGCTCTTCTGAAGGGAAGCCGCTTCAGTCCAAGGGGAGCCGCCTGTTCTGCCCCAAACCCCTTCCAGGACTGCCAGGCGAACCACCCCACAGTTCACACCGCCAGAGAAAAGCACGGGGGAAGCCACCTTTTCTTCCCGGCGTCCCTACTGTTTCTTCGAATCCCACCCCCAAAAAACAAACAAAAGCCTCCCAGCATCTTACAGGCATCCGCTGGATGAGTCGCCCTGGGCACCTGCCGGCGGCCTCGGTTGCCCCCACAGCTGCGGAGGAACCAAGGGCGGGAGGCTGACAGGCTGCGGCAAGGAAGGGGAAACGGAGGCCTGGAGAGCCCGTGGCGCGTTTTCAGCTACCAGTGGCTCCTCCATCCATCCGTCGCTCTCTCCATCCCTCCACGGCCCCTCATAACGCGACGGGAAAAGCGAGGAGCGCCGCTAAATGCCAGCTCGCCCACAGCCCCCTCCCAGCATCACCACGGTTCTCTCGCAACTGCCGCCGCCGCCGCCGCCCCTCCCCCACCTTCTGCCTGCACATGTCGCCCTGGAGGCACCAACGCGCGCGCTCCGCCT